AGCAGCTCCATATGTAACATCAACATAGACAGATATCGAGACACAATACATGAAAAACAAACATTTAACATAATATATTATATATAATATTATTGGTGGTGAGTTCCATCATCCCTCAGCTACTACAGTGTTTATGTTCTGCTCTGTAAGTCCTCACCTTGATGTCCCACACCCGGATGAAGTAGGACCGCAGCGGGTTGTCTTTGACCAGACAGGCCACCCCGCAGCCTCTCTTGTTCCAGATGGAGTTCCTGTCTGCGGTGTACAGCTGCACCACGGCCGAAGACAGGGACTGGAGGGAGAGGAGAAGAGAGGGAGAGTCAGGCAAAGCCAAACCAAGAGGTTTCTAACAAGGGTTTTAACCTAGTACAGCACAATATGCTAATACAATATGCTAAAATAAAAATACATACTGTGTAAAGTAGCGGTTCCCAGCAGTGTTAATTTCGTCAACGAAAACTATGACGAAAAATGTTCGTCAACGACCTTTTTTACATGACTATGACGAGACGATGACGAGCTAAAAATAGATTCTTGATAACGAAAACTATGACGAAATTTATATTTAGTTTTCGAGACTAAGGTGTTAATGGTGGACTATCGAACATTCAAAATGCAGCATATTTTCCCCCAATTGTCCGTCTTGTCTGTCAAAATGCATCTTGCGTTTCTAACTTGCAATATCATTATTTCCGCTCTCTTCACTCCAGAAGAGCGATCTCCCTGTGTCTCTCTCTGTGCGGGGGGCGGGGCCTAACAGACATGCTGCAGCGGACACAGAGATCTGCCGGGGACGGAGCGTTCAGAAGTATAGAGACACATTTTGACTAAAATTTAATTTTTCATCGACTAAAACTTGACTAAAACGTTTTGAGTTTTCGTCGACTAAAACTAGACTAAAACTACGAAGGATAGGAATGACTAAAATGTGACTAAAACTAATAACCATTTTCGTCTAAAGACTAAGACTAAATCAAAAACAGCTGCCAAAATTAACACTGACTCCCAGTAGAAGCCTAGTAAGATTCTAGACTAAACCAACTGTTCACTGTTCAACTATATGAATACAAAACAACAACAACATCTATTTTTATTTATGAGAGGTTTATTGCGAGACTATAAAGGGGTAAGCAGTCGGGGTAAAAATATTGGAAAACCACTGCTTTACATGATTTCCAGCAGCCTCTTATTCAAACAAAGCACCTGAACTCCTCACAGCTTGTATTCCAGTTAAAATGCAGTTCATTCTCTCCTACTTGGCTGAGAGAGTTGGCTAATGACATGACAGAGGAGCTCCATGCAAATAGCCAACATCTGTCACAGCGCTAGCTCCACTCCATATATTTATTTGCTGATCCTACTTAATATTTCTGCATATTACTGGCTGTTTGTTGGAGGCGGACAGTGATGCATGTTCCCGCATGACGCCGTACAAAAGAAAAGCAATCTCCCTGCAACCCTCACATCCACATGCTGCTTCTTCTAAATGCATATTTTGTGCTGGCTTTGCAGCCCGCTGAAGGTCAGAGGAAAGTAAGGCCCGCGTTATTGTGGAAATAGGAGAAACACATTTGGTGGAGTTAATGTACGCTGCATTTATCACCGACACAATAAGGAAGGCTAGATAATATATCTCGTGCCATGTGGAGGGAATACATTACATGGCGGTGTTTGTGATGGCTGAATCTAGGTGCTATCTGAGGGTGTTATTTAGGTTTATCTTGTATCACGGTGACATTCAGATGCATATCCAAGGTGCCCGCTGACTTACTTTAAACTCATTCTACCATGTAAATCAAGGGTGACCAAACTACTCCATTTTGAATCGGCCCTCAGCAAATTCAAAAAGTAAAATGGAGTATGGCCCTCAAATGAAACTTGTGCTTCTCTTGTACTTGTTAAATATATATGTAAACATATATTACACAGTAGTATTCATGTGTTGTCTTTTTTAGGATCCCCATTAGCACTATCATGAGCATTGGCTATTGTTCCTGGGGTCCTCACACACACAAAACATACATGAACATACATACAACACAATCAAAACAAAACAGCTCATCCTTTCATGCAATAATTAATTAATTATTGTTAAGAAGTGAAAACTAAAATGGTCATCCAATTTTTGCCATCCTAAGGCCAACAAATAAATAAATACAAATACGTGTACATAATATACATACCCACAGGCACAGTTCAATTGTACTTGTGTTTGTAAGCCCACTTTTCAAATAAATTCAGTCAATTCAAGTTGGAAACATTTTCTAACAAATCTAAGTTGAAAAGAACAAAGCACAATGACTTATTTACAAATCAAAGCTTTAAATATACCCTTCTTATGAAAAGCAATCTGAGGCTCCTCAGTTTTAAGGAATATGCTGCTAACAAAATAATTGAAATGTACCTACATTTAACTTATGAGGTAATATACCTCAACTTTAGTGAGTGGCCCAGCCCTTCGGATATGTTTCTGTATGAGGCAAATGTTGGACACCCCTGATGTAAATGCAAACATGCACACACCTAAAACGTGAATAACTCAGATGCCTCGTTGTTATCTTTTAAATACGGTCAGATATCAAATCCTCCTCAGACAACCTATTTGGCATTTAGCTGTCAGCAACTCGTCACTTTACTCCGCCATCTTCCCCAACTTCCACTAAAGATTCCTATCTATTTCTGGTACTTAGAATAGCGATCATCCTACAAATTAAAGGGAATTGGCTAAAAGATAATGACTTAATAAACTCACAATGGAATAACTTGGTAAATGAAATCTATGGAGAAAACAACTATTAATTAAAGCTGCGAGCAGCGTTGAGCGGGTCTTCGACGCTCCGCAGGCTGTTGTCCGCACGTCGACGTCAGGCAGATGTCTCGAGGACTCGGCCGTTGGCAAACGTGGGAAGTTTCAGGCCGATCGGACAACGTACACAGGAGTTACAGCAGTATCACAAACATTGTGTTTGATGGGGAGTGATCTGTCGCCATGGCAACGGAATTTGATGACACCCCATAACACGCCTAGATGTGTTGAGGGCTGCATCGTTATCAAACCTGTGAAGTTTTGGGCCGTTTGGAGCAAGTTAACTGGAGTTATGAGAGAACCGTGTTTCACGGCGACCATTTAGTTACCATAGCAACGACATTTGACGAAATCTCAAAACTGACACATATATGTCTCGAGGGGTTGACCGTTAGCACACATGTGAAGTTTGAACAGTTTTTGACCGTTTACACAGGAGTTATAGCAATATCGTGCTTAAAAGAGGGATGCGTTACCATGGCAACAGCTTCTGAGGAAAACTCACTATTGTCATATTCAGGTGTTGAGGGCCGGACCATCAACTGTCATCTGAAGTGTGGTGCCGTTTGGACGATTTTCCATTGAATTACGACAACATTGTGTTTTTTGGCGAGGGATGCGTTGCCATGGCAACGGCATATGATGACATCCCCTAATTGACATAGAGCTGTTGAGGGCCTGACCATTAATGATAGTCTGAAGTCTGGTGCCGTTTGGACGATTTTCCATGGAGCTATGACAATACCGGGTATTTTGGCGAGGGATGCATTGCCATGGCAACAGCTTTTGAGGAAAACTCACTATTTTCACAGTGAGGTGTTGAGGGCCGGACCATTAACTGTGATCTGAAGTGTGGTGCCGTTTGGACGATTTTCCATGGAATTAAGAGAACATTGTGTTTTATGGCGAGGGATGCGTTGCCATGGCAACGGCATATGATGACATCGCATAATTGGCGTAGAGCTGTTGAGGGCCGGACCATTAGCCATCATCTGAAGTCTGTTGCCGTTTGGACGATTTTCCATTGAGTTAAAACAACACCGTGTTTCATGGCGAGGGATCTGTCGC